CGAGCAGGCCGAGGCACTAACACTTAGAGATGAGAATACAGACTTCTTCAAGACATGCTTTGTATGTAGACTTTACTCAAAATTTCCTCTGGTAATCTTTTGGTATAAGTTACTTATCTTCCAATTGATGCAGTTCCTTCTTGCATTTGGTTAAATGTTGTCATTTCCAGTAAGTATCAAAATAGTTTTTTTTAACGTTACATTTGTCTTTATGCTTCCGTGACTCCCGCGGTGCGGTAATTAATAACCATGCACGCGAGTTAGGCGGCCCCGTTTAACCGTTATTACGTTAATAACCGCTACCGCTCTGTTGGACATTAAATAAGTTAATACATGTTTCGGTTAACTAACGTTAACATTAAATGAAATAGCGCTAAGTGAAACGTGACTTTGTATAAGTGCAGTGCAAGTTAACGTTACTAACGTACAGTTGTATATATCTAACGTTACATTTATTCTAGAAGGTTCCACACTGACGGTCAAGCTAACGTTAGCTTAAATGTTAACAGCTAACGTTAGCTTTCAAAATCGAAGAGATAAAGTAAACTAAGGTTAACTAACGGGTGAAGAATATGGCAAATGGACGAGTAAGTTTGCTAGGTACAACGGTGCCAGTGAACGGTCACATTTTATCATGTAACATTAGCTGAAACTTACCTTCTGGGCCGAGCAGCGCTTTCTTCCCGCTTCCAGCAGCCACCTCAAAGGAAATGGCGTCTTCGGTGGTCAAGTGCGCATGCATATTAGAGCAGAGTGCAGCCGAGTATCTCCGGGTTTTGGGGAAAGTTCTTCGACACTCATTCTTTTAAGTCAATGTTACTTGAAATCATAACTTTCCGCAGCAGAAAGTGTTCTTTACTAAATTTCCTTCAGTATGGTCAACAAATTAAGCAGAAATTAGTTGAGGGAACTCATTTTTTAAAGTACGGTCAACAATTACATTTTACAGTGTGTTTGCAGCCACAACAACCTAACACGGTGACAAGCTAACTCGCCAACCAGTTGCCAGTGGCGTGCGAGCGGCAAACAGCTGTTCGGGTAGCCGTGGTTCTTTTCGGGGTCAATGAATTAATGTGTTTAATTGAAAAAGCTATACTGTCACATACCGGGATACAGTCGGAATCTTAAAGAGATATGAATTTTTGTCCATACCGTGCAGCCCTAATTCCTACTGTGATGATCCATCAAGACGGTTTGAACAGATTGTTTCTTTGACTGTTTGTGTTTTAATAATAATGTCTGGACAAAAGGACGATGACCAGCATCTTAACATCAAACAACATAAAGAAGTGTTGTTTGATGAGAGCCCACAAATCTGCCCGTCAACGTGTCAGGAGACACCACTGTCCTCTCTTATAACGTGGAAACAAGACAAGGGTCCAATGAACAAGCATTTCATCACCTCCCTCGCTGTTTAGGCTCATCCTGGCTACTGTTCCTCACTTCTTCTGTCTGTATTGATTATCTGATAAGGGACACAAACCGTTTGAGGAGTCTCTGGTAGTTTGAGGTCAGCTTGATGTGTCAGGGTCTTATTAACCAGGCTGACAGTGGGACAGAGAAAAGTTTTCCAGCTCTACCTCCTCTACAGACTGATGGTCTGTGGCAGCAGCAGGATGCTTTATACCTGAGAGTTTCCAGTGTGCAGCGCGGATCCTCCACTCCAGCAGACAGGAGCTTCACTCTTGAATCCCGTAGGCCGTTGTTACTCAGATCTAGCTCTCTCAGACTAAAGGACTTCGAGCTGAGAACTGAGGACAGAGCTTCACAGCTTCTCTCTGAAAGGTTACAGCCATCCAGTCTGAGGAGACAACAATCAACAAGATGATAGAGAACATTTATGTTGAAATGAAATCCTCTTTGATGGGGAGTTTGAACTAAAAAAATTTGTTCAGTGAAGGTGTTTACAATTCTTTTTGTTCTACTTTAAAGAGGAAAAAACTGTTAATTTGTTCTACTCTTTACAAGAAGTGCTGTAGTATCAGGCCACATTTACACATAGCCGGGTTATTTACAGAAACAAATAAAACTGTAGTCGGCAGTGTAACGAGAAGGATAAAGACATGCATCATAATTCTCAAAACCAACAAGTCGCATACTGTGACGTTTGACCTAGTTCACACGCAAACACAAAAACAGAGTTTTCAGAAATTTCCACTTTGGCCAGAGTTTTTAGAAATTATCGTTTTCCGTGATAAAACCTCCGTTTTTGTGAAAATGAAAGGCCAAAACGCATGAAAATATATGCGTTTTCCCATCGTGTAAATAGGGTCTGAATATCAGGATAAGGCAGGGATATTTAATGTTGTTTATTAGAGTTCCCTATTGTGTATCTGACTTGTTTTAAAGAAAGATAAAGAAAGAGAACATAGTGACTTTAAATGAGAAATTAATCTTCATCTTCTGTTTTCATATTTGTTACGTTCTGAATTAGAAATAAACAACCAGAAAACACTCAGATTGTCACTGTAGAGACACACATTAAAGTCTTCAGTCTCTTTCACACCTCTGCTTTTCTCCTTTTTATTTATTAATTATATCAAACATAACACCACAAAGCCTAAAAAAGAGGAACAACTGGATGAACCTGTGATGCTTTATTGTGAAAAAATATTGTGTTTCAGACTGTCTTAATTTTTTAAGCTATTGTGTAATGTATCTTGTCTACAAGGTTCTTGTGATGTCATGGAAATAAACATGAATTCACAAAAAGGGCTTTTAGTCCTGGCTTTCGTCTCTGAGATTAGTTACTCTGGTTTATTTCCTGTTAAAAAAGATATTTATGAATTCTGTAATATTGATGAACAACTTCATAGGTTGAGAACGAAAGATCCTTTTTACATTGTATGGAGCTGATAGCTTGTCTACAATGATGTGTAACTAAACTAACTTAATCTGACCTGAGAATCTTTAGTTCACAGTGTGGACTCTCCAGTCCAGCAGACAGCAGCTCCACTCCTGAATCCTGCAGGCCGTTGTAACTCAGATCCAGTTCTCTCAGACTAGAGGACTGGGAGCTGAGAACCGAGGACAGAACTTCACAGCTTCTCTCTGAAAGGTTACAGCCATTCAGTCTGAAGAGACAACAATCAACAAGAAGAAAGTTAACATTTATGGTGAAATAAAATCAAACCAGTAAGAGCAAATGAATTGTTGAGTTGAATTTATAGAATTGTTCAGTGAAAGTGTTTACAATTAGTTTTGTTCTACATTAAACAAGAGAAAAAAACAGTTAATTGTCTCGACTGTTTACAAGTAATGTGTCAATATCAAGGTAAGGCATGGATATTTAATGTTGTTCATTAGAGTTAAATACAAAGTTAGGCTTGGTTCTTGTGATGTCATGTAAACAAACATGAATTCACAAAAAGGCCTTGTGGGAGCTATTATTTAGTTATTCTTAAATATTGTTTAATTTCTTCAACTATTTGGGTAATACTGTGGGCACCGGGATATTACTTAAGGGCATAGCCAGGTATTGGATCAGCATATACCTGGGTGACATATACATAGCTTTTTACCAGCGAGCCAGAGCGGCGACTCAGCACAGCTCAGGGTGAGCAGCCACAAGCCAATTGTATGTGCAACAAGCCTTCTTTGACATAAAGTGATGCAAACAAAAGGAACAGATTGCCTGGACAACCTTGCTGCGTGAAAGAAACGGACAAATGGCCACTACAGGGCTTTTAGTCCTGACTTTTGTCTCTGAGATTTGTTCTTCCGCCTCCATAATTGTGATTTTTTTCCTAGTGAAAAAGATGTTCATGAATTCTGAAATCTTGATGAACAAATTCATAGATTGAGAAAGAGAGATCATTTTTACACAGCATGGAGAGGCTAGTTTAGAGACACATTTCAATTATTGAAGACTAACAAACTTATTCTTACCTGAGCGTTTCCAGTTCACAGTGTGGACTCTCCAGTCCAGCAGAGAGCAGCCCCACTCCTGAATCCTGCAGGTGGTTGCTACTCAGATCCAGTTCTCTCAGACTAGAAGATTGGGAGCTGAGAACTGAGGACAGAGCTTCACAGCTTCTCTCTGAGAGGTTACAGACACTTAGTCTGAAGAGACAACAATCGACAAGAAGAAAGATCATTTGTGTGAAAATGAAATCGTCTTAGATGATAAGTTAGAAGTAAAATGAAAAGAGTACATTTGTTCATGAAGCTTTTGACCATTTATTTTGTTCTACTTTAAACAAGAGGAAGGCATTAGTTAATTGTGCTCTACTGTATACAGGAAGTGTGGTGGGAATTTGTGGATTAAGCCCTTGTGAGAAATCAAAAGTATCTTGAACTTGCTTCGTGATGTACTGTAGTATTAATATCAGGCAGGGATTTTTAATGTTGTTTATTAGAATGTTATTACAGTGTCATTTAGAAATGTATCTTCATCTTATGTTTTCATGTTTTTTACATGCTGAATTAGAAATAAAACCACCATCAAACACTCAGCAAAATTGTCACTGTAGAGACACATAATAACCTCTCTTTCCCACCTCTGGCTTTACCCTTTTCATTAATAAAACATGACAGTACAAAGCCTAAATATAAGGAACAATAGGATAAACCTGTTATATTTTATTGTGACTATTGTTTTACGCTATTGTGTAATACATTTGTCTCGTCTACAAGGTTTGTGCAATGTCATGGAAAAACAAATTCACAAAAAATGTCTTTTAGTCTTTAGTGAGTTTTGTCTGTGAGATTAGTTCCTCTGGTTCCATAGTTCTGGTTAATTTCTTGGTGAAAATATGTTTATGAATTCTGTAATCTTGACGAACAACTTCATAGGTTGAGAACGAAAGATCCTTTTAAAATTATATAGAGCTGATAGTTTAATAACACATTATTGGAGACAAACTAACAATCTGACCTGAGAATCTCCAGTTCACAATGTGGACTCTCCAATCCAGCAGACAGCAGCTTCACTCCTGAATCCTGCAGGCCGTTGTAACTCAGATCCAGCTCTTTAAGACTAGATGACTGGGAGCTGAGAACTGAGAACAGAGCTTCACAGCCTCTCCCTGAGAGGTTACAGCCACTCAGTCTGAAGAGACAACATTGAAGAAAATATGAACAATAAGTAGAACAGATGGAAGCATATTTACCTTGATGTATGAATCTAACTCTCTCTGTACTTACAGAGCTTTTTTGGAGGCTTTGACCACAGGCAGCAGCCTCAGAAGAGCCTCCTCTGAACCAGAGTATTTCTTCAGGTCAAACACGTCCAGATCTTCTTCTGATAAAAGTAAGATGAAGACCAGAGCTGACCACTGAGCAGGAGATAGTTCATCTGTGGAGAGATGTCCTGATCTAAGGGACTGTTGGATCTCCCCCACTAGAGAACCATCATTCAATTCATTCAGACAGTGGAACAGATTGATGCTTTTCTCCAGAGACACATTCTGACTGATCTTCTCCTTGATGTACTGGACTGTTCTCTGATTGGTTTGTGAGCGACTTCCTGTCTGTGTCAGCAGACCTCGTAGGAGAGTCTGATTGGTTTCCAGGGAAAGACCCAGGAGGAAGCGGAGGAACAAGTCCAGGTGTCCATTAGGACTCTGTAAGGCCTTGTCCACAGCACTCTGGTAGAGACGCGTTGGTTCAGGTTTGTATATAAATGCTTTAAACCAGTGGAAAATTGTTTGTTCTTCTATGAGCAGATTGGCACCATAGTTGATGAAGGTCAGATGAACATGAAGAGCAGCCAGAAACTCCTGAACACTCAGATGGACGAAGCAGAACACCTTGTCCTGGTACAGTCTGCTCTCCTCTCTAAAGATCTGAGTGAACACTCCTGAGTAAACTGAGGCTGCTCTGAAATCGATGCCACACTCGGTCAGGTCGGATTCATAGAATATCAGGTGTCCTTTCTGCAGCTGATCAAAGGCCAGTTTTCCCAGAGCCTTGATCATCTTCCTGCTCTCGGGACTCCAGTGTGGATCCGTCTCAGCTCCTCCATCGTATTTGACCGTCTTCACTTTGGACTGAACCACCAGGAAGTGGATGTACATCTCAGTCAGGGTCTTGGGCAGCTCTCCTCCCTCTCTGGCCTTCAACTCCTCCTCCAGAACTGTAGCAGTGATCCAGCAGAAGACTGGGATGTGGCACATGATGTGGAGGCTTCGTGAGGTCTTGATGTGAGAGATGATTCTGCTGGCCTGCTCCTCATCTATGAACCTCTTCTTGAAGTACTTCTCCTTCTGGGGGTCAGTGAACCCTCTGACCTCTGTCACCATGCCAACACACTCAGGAGGGATCTGATTGGCTGCTGCAGGTCGTGTGGTGATCCAGAGGCGAGCAGAGGGAAGCAGCTTCCCCCTGATGAGGTTTGTGAGGAGCACATCCAGTGAGGCCAACTCTGTGACATCAGTCAGGATCTCAATGTTGTGGAAGTCCAGAGAAAGTCGACACTCATCCAGACCGTCAAAGATGAGTAGAACCTGGAACTTGTCAAACCTGCAGATTCCTGCTGCTTTGATTTCACTGAAGAAATGATGAACAAGTCCCACCAAGCTGTACTTCTTCTCTCTCTGCACATTCAGCTCTCTGAAGGTGAATGGAAATGTGAACTGTATGTCCTGGTGGTCTTTGTCTTCAGCCCAGTCCAGAGTGAACTTCTGTGTTAAGACTGTTTTCCCAATGCCAGCCACTCCCTTAGTCATCACTGTTCGGATTGGTTTCTTCCTTCCAGCTGAGGCTTTGAAGATGTCTTCTTGTCTGATGGTTGTTTCTGGTCTGGCTGGTTTCCTGGATGCTGTTTCAATCTGTCTGACCTCATGTTCTTTATTGACCTCTGCAGTCCCTTCCTCTGTGATGTAGAGCTCTGTGTAGATCTCATTCAGAAGGGTTGTGTTTCCTGCTTTAGCGATCCCCTCAAACACACACTGGAACTTCTTCTTCAGGTTGGATTTGAGTTCACGTTGACAGTTGGCGATAATCTCTGAAAAACAACAAAAAAAAAGATTGAACCAGACAGTGCTTTACTTTAATGGTACAATGTCTTTAACGGTGTAATATTTCCCTTGGATTAAGCTTTTGGTTGTATTTATCTGCACGCCTATCTGAAGCTTCCCAGAATACTGACTGTGACAACTTTGACCATGGAAATAACTGAAGTATGCAACCGTTACACAATTGTAGAAAAAGTCTCTCACCCTGACCTCCATATCCTCCCACGGGATTCGGTTTGCCTGAAACAAGATGTTTTCTGTGATTACTTTGTGCATTTGTAGTTGGATAATAGCGGCTATATACAGTCTGTGCTCTAATTCAAACCTACACTCTTAATGTCGAACAGTACCTCATGTTGAGTTAACGCCAATTACGAGACTCAATTATAGTTTGGTTTTTGATCCCTCCTCCTGAGGAGGATTTATGAATCACATTCCTCATCTTTACCTCTGTTGTATCTTTATCATACACATCTGCTGTCTTTCTTTCTCTTATTAACAACTTACCCGTAGAGTTCGTTTTGGATAATTTTTCAGCCAGATCGTTCATTTGCATTTCTTCCAAAACCTTCACGGCCACCTGAACAGAGTCTGTGTCGTAGCACCGCACCATCAGGTCCACTGTGTTCATCCTGTCTGCGTTCTGCAGGTCACAGGGTGGGATTGATCGGGGGTCTTCTGGGCTTGAATTATTCTTCAGGTACCACTTGAACCGTTGGAAGTCCTCCTCCTTGAGCTGCTCTAAAGTTTTGAGAATGTCCTTCTTGACTTTCTCCATCTGTCCTTTTTAAAGAAACCCAAATAAATATCAACCTAGAGAACATTTACAGCTCTGCATTTAAAAAACAAACCGCAGCGTGTTTTAAATAGATAGATTCATTGGTTTTGATACACAATCAAATAGAATTCTTCCTCTTTCTAAACACCTCTGATGAAGTCAGCGTCCTCTTGGTGGACACAAGTTGGATGAATCTGTGAATGTTGGCGAAGTTTAAAGGCAGTTCAGAGCTTCACCTGCAACAAGAGTAATGCCGTTTCATTTATTAAACAAAATCAATTAATTATCAAATAATCAAGAAGCAGCAAGTATATGGAGCCAAATCCAGGACAAAAGTCCTTTTCTGAACTCTGAATTGATCTTTTAAAAAAGAGAATTGAACTGGAAAATTTGAGATTTGGTCTTGAAAATTTAAAATTCAGTTAAAAACTGCAAAACTGCTTGTTCCTCCTCACTTAGAGCAAAACACTCAACTAGATCACCACTCTTTGCTGTCCTGCTCCTAAATGGTGGAAGGAGGTCTCTGAAGACATCAGGACCACAGAGAGCCTTCACATCTTCAGACTAAAGACACACCTCTTCAGACTCTACCTCCACTAACACACTAACTAACTGTAGCACTTACATTGGACTTATAATGGTTCTTATCTACAGCAAGTTGTAAATTGGCTTATTTGATGAAATTGCAATTTCCTGGTTTTTGTTCTTCTGAGTTTGTGTCCTTGTGGTTGAAATGTTCTTATTGTAAGTCACTTTGGATAAAAGCGTCAGATAAATGACATGTGATGTAAAATAAAATTGAATGAATAAACATAGTTTTGGGGTCTAATATACCATTTTGATCCATTTCTTGTAATGTTTTGAATAAAATATTCATTATCATTCTTCAGTGTGAGACAGGGCCTCGTCCACCTGGCCAGCCGGACGACCACTTTTAGACTCCAGTTTGTGCAGAAATATCTCACAGGTCCGGAGTTTTTAGTATGGAGGGACGTGGCCAGCTGTATTTTTAGACGTGCAAACAACCTGGGGCTGGATACTGCTCTGTTTTAATTGATTCAAAAATTTAAATTTTTAAAGTTAAATGGGCTACCTCCGTTTTATCAGGGTGTTTTTAAGTCTTGGGCCCTTTTTAATCATAAAAGGTGCCAACAGTCTTTCTCTCTGTACTGGTTGTTGAGAGAACCTTTGATCTACAGAGCAAGGCTGGACATCAGCAGCAGTGGGACCCCAGGCCTGGGGAACTCACCGGCCCCCTGCTCGCCACAACACGCCCCGAAGCGCTGACATTGCACGAAGCAGACAAGAAGACTCTGTATTTTAACTGTGTGAAGAGCATAAACCGGTCCGGACTGTGCGACAGGCTCCCCACTGTGTGCTCCAACAGACTGGGACAAAATGGACCGGGCCCACAGTGGAGGATTTTATACAAACCTCCCCCCAAGAAACGGACTGCCAACCTCCAGTGGAGAATTTTACACGGTGCTGTCGCCTCCAACGCTTTTATTTCTGCTATTAATCCCTCTGTTCTTAGCCGGTGCCCCTTCTGTGACCTCCGAGAGACTATTTATCATGTTTTTACAGAGTGCAAGAGACTTGCGAGTTTCTTCTCTGTTAACATCGGTTTTTAGTCTTTTTAATGTGGTTTTTACAGAAAAGATTTTTATAGGAGCTGCCTACAAGAACGCAGAATAATAAAAATGGCAGCTCCTCAACTATCTTTCAGAGGGGAAGCCAAAATGGCCATTTATCTAAGCAGGAAGGCCAGAGTGAAGGGCAGAGAGGGGCAGGAGGCCAGAGCAGTGTGGCTGGTGAACGTCAGGTTCAGGCTCTGGCTAGAGTTCCGCTTTTATAAACACATTGGAGACGTAGACACTTTTAAACAACGTTGGTGTTTTAATGATGTTGTGTGCTCAGTTGAAAAAAATGAATTGGTGTTTGCTCCTGTTTTTATGGCATATGTTTTTTAAAAACAAAGCAAGGAAACCTGTGACTTTTAACACATTAGCAAAGTTTTGAATATGTAAAATAACTAGTTTTTTTTTTTAATCCCAAAAAAAAGATCTCTCTGTCTCTCTCTCTCTCGGCATCATGACTGGCACTACCAGGTGAAACCCCTTACCGAGCGGGCCTGGAAGCCAGGGAGGTGTGCAACTTAGTGTGTGTGTGTGTGTGCTGGTAATTATTTGCTTCTACTGTTGGACAGTATGATTTTGAGCTTGAACCTGATAAGGAGGGTTTTGTGACATAAATCTCTCTTTTGTGTAAAAATTCCTTCTTTTATAGTTTATTTTCATTTGTTATTCCCCGACTTCCCTAGACATCAGTTGAGGGACGTAACATTCACTTACATCCTTTTTGATATTTAGGTTCTTATATATTTTGTTTCAAAAAAATGCTCTCTGTTATGGCTCAGGGGGCGTGTCATCATGAGTGACAGCTCAACAAAGAAGGCTGAAAACTCAACCGTGTTGCCTTCAGGAAGCGTAGGCACTGTGGTAATTATGAATCCACACCTTCTATACACCAGATTGGCAGCAAGATAATTTACACCATTGACAAAGTTCTGCTTAGCGAGCTGTTTTGGACCCTATAAATGACAGAATAAGATCATGAATCAATGTCAGATTGTAGCTTGTTAATGTGTCCCTCGTGATTGGACGCGCCTTAATGCCACGCCCATAAGCCATGACAGGGTCAAAAGTGAGAAAATAAGATTTGAAATACAAAATCTACAATTGAAAAAGAAAAGACATCAAATACAGAAAAGTATATATGTGAAGAACTCGTTCTCTCTGGACTTTGGCATTCCTGCATGTTATCACACATTAAACTAGTGGAATTAATTGCTCAATCACATCTTATTGCACATACAGTGACAAATCTACAAGCTGTTTTTCTCCTTGACTAAAACCTGGTGATCAATGAGAGAAAAACTGAACACTAAAGAAAACACAAACACATTCAAACACTATAAAAAGTGACTAAATGTGTTTAAAGCAGATGAAGAAATGAACATGAAGCTTTGTGGACTTAAAGGACTGAATCAGCAGGTGAGACAAACAGAGCGTCTCTCAGGTGTGTTTCAGGAACAAAGGCCCAGGTGAGCTCTGTGGTCCCTGCTGGGTCCTAGTGCCCCTCCGTCTGCTACCTTCCCCTCCTCATCAGTAACAGTCCTCACAGACCCCAGATCAGACTGAGCTCCTCTTCTTCATCACAGCGTCATCATTCAGACTAACAGCAGCTTCTCTCTGCCTGCTCACACAGGCGCCATCTTGTTTCCCAGCTTTAAACAATCACACCTTCACGACCATCAATGACGTCATTCAAACAATCACAGCTCCACTTACTGAACTTGTAGACATGAAGTTCCTCAGTGAGCAGCTCTCTTCTGTCCTCAGCAGGTTGGTGTAGAAAAGGAGCTCCGTGCTTCACTTCAGCTTCCATCAGACGGAGTGAAGTGACGCACCTTGTTGTCCTCCATCAGAGAGGGTGTGTCCTCACGTCACCATCAAAGTATGCAGTCTGACTGGTTGACTGAGTCTCAGTCTGAGCTGCGTTCACAGGATCAAAGGTCATCGTGG